CTTCCGACGGCGCCCCGTCCCCAGCACCCCACGCGCCTGCGGGGTCCCCCGTCTCCCGCTGTTGGCATTCCCTCCGCTAGCGAATCATGGCCCATACACCGTAGAAGCCCTTCTCGCTCACCCTTTCTTCTAAAAGGCATCCTTCCTTCTGACGTTGGCTACTCTACGACCCAGAGTCCCTCTTCCCGGGACACCCCTCTACATTGACTTAACCTCGAATTCCTTGATGCAGAATATCCAACGCCGTATATGTCAGGGTGGGCTGTCACATCCTTCTTGAGTATGGAGCCTCAGGCAGCATCCATTTCTGCAGGCGAGGCTTGATTTGTAGACTATAGAGGGGTGCACTTTCTTTCTCTGACCTGGACACTGTTTGTTAACGCAGCTCAAGCACGTATGTATGTCTTAAGGTGTTGTGCAGCGCCCTCAGCTCCGTGTGGGCCTTCCTGATACTAGATTAGGGGCCGGGAGGGAGGAAGGAACAGGGGAGGATGCAACTGTTGTCAAGATAGTCCTCCACTCTGTATTTGGGGAGCTGATGCTTTTGGAACCAAACTTCGGACTTACACTTAGGGGGAAAGAATTCTCTCTTCCCGGAGCAGGTTCCTAAGAGCAGAACCTCTCCCCTATCGTTTTGTTTGGCACCCTCACTCCTGTTTTGAGCCTACATTGTGCTTCATTCTTTTACTCTTGAGTCCATGGGAAGAACAAGTACTCTAATATTCCTTGGTTACTGCAAGGTTCTCCCACAATCCCATTTCATAACTGTCCTACCCACACCCATTCCACACCCAAGTTAACTGCTTTCCTGTTTTGTTCATCTAATTCCTCCAAGATAGATGTGTCCCTCACCTTGCATTCTGAACACAGACTCCCAGGGGACAATCCTAAACTGTCCTAATTTCTGAACTCAAAGGTTCCCCCAAATCTCAAGTTTCTTTATATATCTAGAATATGTAACACACCTATCAGAAAGGTTAAGAAAGTTTTAATGACAATACCAAATGACACAGTTTTAATGACAATGTTTGTGAGGATGTGGAGGAAGTGGGTCACTCATATATTGCTGGTGGGAATGTAAAATGGTAGTCCCTGCCAGCCTGTTGTGCCTTCCTTCTCTGGCCATCATTTAAAATGATATTGTTACACAATGGAGTAATTTTGTGGTAGAAGCTATAGGAAGCCCCGTGGAATTTTGTATGTAGGAATAGTGATTTCAAATAGTCACGCTATATCCTCTCAATCTATCACATGTTTAGTAACGTCTTGTCTTATTCCAGCCTCAGTCTCTCCCATCCATTATTTTTTCATCGAATGGAGCGGCCCACAAAGGCCCTTCTTACAGCAATAAGAAGAAGGCAAGGATGTCTACTATCACAACTCTTATTCAACATTGTATCAAAAGTCACAGCTACTTCAATAAGACAAGAAAAATAAATTAAAAGTATACATATTGGTAAAGAAGAAATAAAACTTTGTTCACATATGACATGAGTGGCTATATAAAAAATTCAAAAGAATAAACAACAACAAAAAAATCCTGGAACTGATAAACAGTTATAGCCAGGTTGTAGGATACAAGGTTAATATACAAAAGTTAATTGCTTTCTCATATACTAGAATTTAAAATTTTTAAAAATCATTTACATTAGCACCAAAAATACTAAGGTATAAACCTAACAAGATATTACAATATCTATGTGAGATAAACTACAAAATTCTGATGAAAGAAATATACATATGGAGAGATATTTCATGTACATGGATAAGAAGACTTGATATTTTCAAGTTGTCTGTTCTTTCCAATTTAATCCATAAATTCAACACAATCCCAATCAAAATCCCATTTGTAAATATCAACAAACTAAGTACAAAGTTTATATGTAAAGGGTAAGAGAACCAGAATAGCCAACCCAGTATTTAAAGGAGAAGAACAACACATCTGCAGCGCATTTATGGCTTAGGCCAGAGAACACCTTTTGGCAAATTTTGCTCTAAGAAAACAAGAGAGAAAAGGCGAATTTTAATGATAGTTGAAAGTACCTTCATTGTGAAAAATCATGAGTGGTATACTGATTAATTAGCAAATTTGGAAATAATTATTTCTATTGCTGGCATGATGTGGTGAAATTTGGAATGTTCTGCCAATGCATTCACCATAAGTTGTTATAGTCCTTTTCTAAAACAACTTTTCCAGCCCAACCGGTATGGCTCAGTGGTTGAGCATTGATCTATGAACCAGGAGGTTAAGGTTAGATTCCCAGTCAAGGTACATGCCCAGGTTGCAGGCTTGATCTCCAGTGGGAAGCGTGTAGGAGGCAGCTGATCAATAATTCTCTCTCATCATTGATGTTTCTATCTCCTTCTCCCTCTCCCTTCTTCTCTGAAATCAATAAAAAAATATATTTTTTTAAAAACCAACCAAACAAAAAACAACTTATCCATAAGTTTTCAAACCCCTATAATATTATATGTACTTGATAATCCCATTATTGGTAAATTACGTTATAGAAATGAATTTAAAGTTACTGTATAAAGATGTTTATTACTAGATTGTTTATTAAAGCAAAACATGGAAAGGATCTGAATATCCATGTAATAGGAGAATGATTAAATAACCTTTAATCAACTCATTGGGATGTGATTGCAGCCTTTAGGAAGTTTGATTATAATTGGAATTGTTGTTAGTAATCATTATTACAGTTACTTCAACATAGTACTATATGAAAAATAATGATTTCTGCACAGCAAAAGAAACCAGCATCATAATGAAAAGGAAATCCACTGTATGGGAGAACACATTTGCCAATGCTTCATCTGATAAGGGGTTAATTTCCAAAATATGTAAAGTACTTATACAACTCAACAAAAGGAAGACAAGCCAATTAAAAAATGGGCAGAAGACCTGAATAGACACTTCTCCAAAGAGGACATACCAATGGCCAAGAGATATGAAAAACTGCTCAATGTCACTAATCATCAGAGAGATGTAAATTAAAATGACAATGAGGTACCACCTCACACCTGCCAGAAGAATCTCTTACCCTTTGAGACAGCGTGGAGGGACCTAGAGAGTATTATGATAAACAAAATAAGCTGGTCAGACAAGTATCCTCACTTATATGTGGAATCTAATGAACAAAATAAACTGATGAACAAAAAAAGATCCAGAGACATTGAAGCATGCAACAGACTGATTTATTTCAGAGGGAAGGGTGGGACTGGAAGAGGTTAACCTATGATCTTACATGCATGTATGCATAGCCCATATGGGGGGGGGGGGGGGGGGAGGGGACATCTGTAATATTTTCAATAATAAAGATACATTTTTTTAAAAAAAAAAAGAATGAACACCAAAGCCTCCAACATCACATTCTTTCCATTTAACCTTCACAAGTTTGTCCATCCCTTAGCTTGGAATAAATGAATTAGTGTACAAATACAACTATGTAAACATCATATGTGAATATGCAGATACTGGCAAGGCATTAAAATTGGAAAGCCACATGGTGAGATTTAGGATTTTCAATTCCTACCAGTGTTTGTGCAATAATTTATCTTTGAATGTGAACAGTGCTATGCATCTCCCCATTTAATAGGATTTTAAGAGATTTGAATGCTTACCCTTGAACAGTCATTATAGTACCTACACTGGCAGAAGAAATGTTGAGAACCAAGGTGCTTATCTGGATAATTCAACATCCTGCACCTCCCCCAAATAATCACTTCTTAAAAATTATATAGATAATTGAAACAGTTTTTCCCCCTTAGCTCAAACTCAACTCACTTTGCTGGTTAAAGTCTGTTACAGCAATGCTTCTCGAAGTTTGCTTGCATGTGAATCACCTGCGGATCTCCTTAAAAGACATGCTTTGACTTGGTAGATTTAGGCCCTAGGGTGAGGCCTGAGACTCTTAATTTCTAACAAGCTTTGGGGTAATGCCTGTGCTGCTTGTCCAAGGACCTTGCTTGAGTAACAAATCCTACAACATTTGAGTAATTTACTTACCCATTGAATCCAGATAATGCATATGCTTATATATGTTTGTATGCATATGCATATGTGTGCATACATATCCATACACACACACATATATATTTTAAATGGTCTGTCAATCTTGGCTATCAACATCAAGCAAATTTTGGAAATTTCCCATTTTATACTGTAATTTATGCTGTATAAACAGCCTAGTTTCCTAATTTTTGAAACAGAGATAAACAGTAGGTTAATGTTCCTAAATTCTGTGGGAAAAAAGAGAAATGTTGAATAAGATCATTCTTGGCAGAGGTTTGACTTGTTCAATGATAAAAGCAAAATCTGATTGTAAGTGTTCAAAAAGCATCAATAAACTCTCGTAACTTGCTGATGGAATTGACATCTAGCACTCTTCCTTCTCACAGACAGTGCTCAACAAACATTGGTTCAGTGAATGCCACATGAACCCCTACAGCTATACGTCTTAGGAATGCATCCTATGCAGCAATTTCTAGCTACTGGCTGAAAATATTAGTTTTTTTTCTTGATGCTTTCAAATAATAACTTTATCAACTTCAAGTATGATGAAAGTATTCATTTTGTAGAAAATCTTAAATCAGTGAGATGCTGTTTTCTATAACATCTACTTGAATTGATAATATCTTCCAGAATCAGTGAGTAACTCTCAACAAATTTTATTTTCCAAACACTGTCCTCAGCAAAAATAATGCTGAGAGGTCAGGGCACATCTGCAGAGTGTGAAAAGGCAGCATCTGAAATACTCTTTATGCATTCCTTTCCCCCACTGAATAGGATTGTTGCCATAGTAATGTTTTAAAAACACTCCTAGATCAATATTAGAACTGCAGAAAGTATCTCACATATGCTAAGCTATTTGTGAGTCTAAACCTATACCCTTATTTTTGTTTATTTGCTCAACTGTGGAATAAATATTTGAGGAATTCCTCATGACTGGTCAGTTCTATAATGTGAAGAATTAGTCAATCAACCATCAAGTGTCCTGTGACTACTTCTCAAGTAGAGGTCTATGCCAGGTGCTAGAAAACAACAATGTCAAATGCAGAGGCTGTGGATTGGTCAATCTGGAGGGGGGTGGGAGGGAGAGCATGCCAAATGTACCAGGGGGACAGGGATCCCAGCGGTGTCTTAAAATGCACACTCTGATTTTTGCCGTATTATATTTCAGAGTTCACCTAAGAAAATCAAATATTTTTCTTTTTTCACTGTCCTACTCATCTTTAGCTTCCCATAATTCCAACCTGTCCACATAAGTATCACACACACCCTGCACAAAATATGAGAAATGAGTTGTAATTTCTTATACTACAGAAGGTTGAGAAACATTCAGATGGTTTAGAATCAAGAGCTAGAAGAAAAAAAAAATACCAATTGTGTGCTTCCTTCTGTAACAAAGCTACACATACATAGGCTGTGCTTATTATGCCAAGATGTAGACATTTATTCCAAAAGAACCTATTTTCTTCAAGTACTGTTGCACAGAGCTTCTCAAATTATCCCAGTGACAAATGGCTCCTGAGGAGCTGGGTGAGAAGGGGTCTGGGTTCCAGCTGCAGCATTGCTTCTAGCCACATGACCCTGAACAAGTCATTTCATCTTTCCTGAGTCAGGTTTCACATGTAAAAATGATGATGCTGTACTTCACAATCTCTGAGCCCCCATCTAACTATAAATCCCTCTGGCTCCATGAAACAGAGTAAAATACGGGATTCCTTCATCATGCTTTGTTGTTTTTGCTCCGCTTTTATATTCCTTGCTGACAAAGTGCAGTACTAAGTATCTGTTCTCCTGGAGACTTGGCAGTAAACACAACCTGCCTGTCAAAAAGATTTAATTCAGTCATGTATATTATAGGAATAAATTCAAGCATTCACTCTGGGAGCTATAACTTCAGAAAGGATACTTGTTATTTCAAGTTTTAATATATATACATATGCAATATATATATACATATATATATGATAATGAAAAGTGAGCATTCTAAAGTAATTGATCAGGTTGCCTTAATTTTCTATAGATTCAAACTTAGAAATAAAATAATGCCCTGCTACATATGGCTTCTAACCACCAGTCCTGTTATTTCCCATGTGTGGACTTGATTGAAATGGCATGTAGTCCATTTACCTGTAAAATAAGATTTGGCCTTTATAAATGCAGCTGTTTTCAATATAAATCATCCTTTGCTTGACTTGTAGCAGTCACATTAGTTGTATAAAAAGTGTTCAAAGTGTGGGCTCAGAATACTAAATTATACTTTAAGCATAATTTGGCATAGAGTTGACTGTGCCACTAAGTGAATTCCTAGTTAACTGCATTGTGGCAAAGTGCCACCTGCCTAGGTAATTGAAAATTGACTGTATTTTCATTAGTCTGAAATTTCCCTTGGCCTAACTCTTTTCTCCCAATCATCTCTGGCAACGTAACCTTTCTTTGCCAAGATCTATTTGTTTAGTTGGAAAATTTCAGAAACAATATTGTGTGGGACCCCTATACATCTAGATCAACGGTTCTCAACCTGTGGGTTGCAACCCCTTTGGGGGTCGAACGACCCTTTTACAGGGGTCGCCTAAATACATCCTGCATATCAGGTATTTACATTATGATTCATAACAGTAACAAAATTACAGTTATGAAGTAGCAATGAAAATAATTTTATGGTTGGGGGTCACCACAACATGAGGAACTGTGTTTTTTTTTTAATATATTTTATTGATTTTTTACAGAGAGGAAGGGAGAGGGATAGAGAGCCAGAAACATCGATGAGCGAGAAACATCTATCAGCCGCCTCCTGCACGCCCTCTACTGGGGATGTGCCCGCAGCCAAGGTACATGCCCTTGACCGGAATCGAACCTGGGACCCTTGAGTCCACAGGCCAACGCTCTATCCACTGAGCCAAACTGGTTAGGGCAGGAACTGTATTAAAGGGTCACAGCATTAGGAAGGTTGAGAACCACTGATCTAGATGGTAGAGAAGTGGTGATATTACATAAGAAAGCATATTCAAGATCTTTCTATTGACTCAAATTAAATGGA